GTGATCTGCTGTATATATGAACAGCAGCATGCTTGAGGGGGTGGTATCAGTCAGCCTGAGAGCTCTGTGGCTGATGCTTGAGTTGTGAGAATACTTTTTTATTTTCTACACGGAAATCACTTGATGTTCGCTATAACTCAGTAAGAATTTATACCCTGGTGAGTAATGATAATAACCACGGAGCCCACACTGTCAATCTAGGTGCAGGGTTTTTTTGTTTTTTTTTGCAGGAGCTGTGCTGTACTGCATCGAAACCCTCTTGCTGTGTGGGGAAGGCAAGACAATGCCCAAACGGCTGATTTTTGAGAAGCTGATCTTGTGGCAAATACACCTTTTGCACTTCCAGGCATCTCAGTTATATTGTTAGACAGGGGTCATTTCGTAGAAAAAGAGGTGCAGGAGCTCATTAGCATAACTCATTTGCATATGCCACATCCCCTGACATCACCGGAAGTGTGTCAGAAGGGAACACCCACCGCTCAGGCTCCACTGGACTGTTTTGGATTGCTAGCTATTGGGGGGGGGGGAACGGGGGAACGTGCAGATCAGTCCTCACAGAGGAGGGAGAGCTTGTACCAGAATAAAACTTGGTCTTAAAGGTGCCACTGGAGTGTTATGGACTGGGGAGCTGCAACTTACCTGGCTGCTTCTTGCTCTGACTGAGGGCTGCTGGGAGCAGGGGGTGGGGCTTGTTGCATGTGCCCGCCCCCTGGGCTCTTTACTGCCGGAGCTCCGCTGCTGTGCGCTCCTGCAGGAAGGGACCCCTGTTGTTAATATAGCATTTAAAAGTATAAAAAGCTTTGTTTTCTCTCTGGATAAGATTTTTTTGGTAGTGGTAAAAAAAATGAAGTAAAATAAATAAAATTCTCAGAAATGCCAAGCAACGGCTAATTTATAGAGGCTCTCACAGAGCGTAAGCCCTTTCAGAACATGCATGTATGTGTATCACTCACTTGAAAGCTATGTGCCAGATAAAAAAGCTAAGCTACAACCCTCCTCCATAAGAGGGCAGAATTCTGTGCTTGGCTTCTGGTCCCTTGAATGGTCCAGAAATGAAGACAGTAATTTTCGTAAGGCCTGATTTATGCAGGGCCTTGTGCAATATGAACATCATCACGGGGCTGAGTCTAACACCACACTGGTAATGTTTGGAGTGGGGAACAAGAGGGGTGGGAAGTTGATGTGGGTTTCCCCCCCAATATGATTCTGTATCTGTGCTGGGCAAATGAGGAAGGTTAGGTCAGGTCCTTGGTTCTGTGAATTAATGATCCTTGTAAGACACCCCTGAGGCTTGTACTGCAAAATGAGGTTGCCTTTATGATAAAGAGGGTTTCTTGCTTATAAAATGTTTCCTACAGGCAGGGCTATTTTTGGGCAGGAACGCACAGGAACGGAGTTCCGGCTGGCTCCCGAGTTGGCCACGCCCAACAGGAACTCATTAGCATAAATAGGCCACACCCAACAGCAGAAACTCATTAGGATTGGCTACATTAGGGGTGTGTGGCCTAACATGCAAAGGAGTTCCTGCTACAAAAAAGGCCCTGGGTTTTGACCACAAACAAGGTAAACAGAATAAGGAGCAAAAGGTGGGTGTGGCTGGATGTCGACACTTCTGGTAACACGGGGGTGCGGCCTAATATGCTAATGAGGTATGCTCTCATGGGTGTGGCTGGATATGCTAATGAGTTTCTGTTGTTGGGTGTGGCCTATTATGCTAATGCGTTCCTGCTGGGCTTTTTCTACAAAAAGAGTCCTGCCTACAGGGAATACCTTGACCATAAACAACCACAAGCAAAATGCGTTACCCACCTTGAATATGAACAGCTGACAGACTGATCACACAATTTATACAGCCAGGGGGAAACGAAGAGAAATATTCTTTTGACCTCTCTTCCCTTAGCATAAAGTGGTAACGTCATTGACAGAATAATAAATGTTTTCTGGAGATGTCTGATTTTTCCTCTTGGGAGACACTGCTGTCTGGCTGGTTTCTCACTCTGTCATTAACAACCTGTGACAACTTCCTTCTCATTGTCTTGGAATTGCTGGAGGATCAGGAACAGCTAAATGACCTGTCCAACTCTAGCATTAAACGGTTCGTCAGAGCATCCTCAAGGCTGCTTGGTGAAGAATCTCAGCTGCCAGGTGAGCCAGCTAAGAAGTTCCTGGCTCAGTAGGAACCTTGCAAGAGAGTTGTATATGCTCTCTGACAGGTGCTTGAGCAGCAATTTTAGCCGCTCTTTTACTGCAAAACATCCACCTCCAGCTTTGGCAAGACTGGATGTCATCATGATTAATTATTTCATATCACTGTAGGAGAATAGTACTTGCACCTGCATCTGGAGATCAAACCAGGGAGTGTTCCGTTAAAACCTGCAAGCTAGAGAAGGGGAAAGAGAAAGGGAACAAGGGATTCACTTAAACAGTAGCCGTCTTCACATCCCATCAGAGTTCAACTGGAGCTTGTCACGACGTCTGCATGCCGCTTATGTCTTTTCTATGCACTACAGTGTCTTAATATAAGCTATGTAAGATATTGGATTATCCAAAATTCTTTGGCAGTCCTGCTTGCTAGTCACATAAATAAGGCTTTAATGGATTTTACAGCATTATTTGAACTAGGGGAAAGAATGCAAAGCATGGAAGGATGATTCAAGTAGGGCAAAGGTAAAAATGACTGAAGTTCACCAAGTGAGAGCAGGGACTAATATTTGCAAAGCAGTCTAGGTAAATATTATATTGCATTGTGCTGTCAGGCGCTGCCAGTTTTTAAAAAGGAATCAAATAATCTGCTGTGTCCTAATTTGGAAGCTATATTAAGAATCAAGTCCACCAAAGGTGGGAAACACCCATTATTATATTGTTGCTTAAGAATGCAGTGACAGAACTAGACTTTGGCTCACGTGGGTGCCAAATGTGTGGAAGAAATAAACTTCATGTAGGCAGTAGGCCAGGTAGAAGGTGTGATAGTTATTCTCGGCATGAATGAGGATTCCTAAAAATCTAGCTCAGCACTTCAAATCCTCTAAAGTGAGCACTTGGTGCTCATAAACAGCCAAAATACTTGCATGATTACACACACATAATAACTACTGGCTGCTGCAGCGACCTGAACAGATCCTGAAGGAGACTGGAATTAAAACTGAACAGACAACTTGCCTGGATATTATCTGCATACACTCACACGCACTGACAAACAGTTGACAATGTAATCTTGCAGGTGTGAAGCTGACCACAGAATACACTCAAGCATCGTTTCCCCCATTCGCTTTTATTTTTGTGGCAAGCAAACTTGCTTGTCTAATGTTCCTAATCTCTGCCACCTCTACGTTTACACTTTCTTCGGAGTAATCTCTGTTAACACTCTCTAGTCTTACTCCGTTCCTCACTTTCCATCTCATTCTTCTGTTTCTATCCTTGCTATTATTTTATCCTTTCCTTTTAAAAAAATGCTCCAGTGTTGTGTCCTTTCACTTAGCCATCCCCAGGAATCGTTACATGTACAAAGATGGGCTTCTGCATGGCTGGCCAAAGGGCTTTTCATGCCCTAGCCAGCCTGGCCCAGACCCCCCCCCCCCCCCCCCCCCCTCTCTCCCAGGACACCCAGCCGGGCAGGTTGGTGCTTACTTGCCTGCTGATGCTGCCATAGAGCATCATTTCACTTCCAGGTTTGAATGCAGTTTCCCCCACTTTCTCCTGCCACATTGGCTCCAGCAGACAAGTGAGCCCTGAGCCACTGGAACCCCACGGGGCTGCCTGCTTTTGGTTCCCCTGGTGCTGCCCCCCCCCCAGTCTGGCATCCTAGGCAATTACCTAGGGCCACCTAGTGGCTGGGCCACACTTCTGAAGACTCATTTTGTGGCTGGCCTACAATATTTGTTTATAAATATTTGATGCTGATTAATAAATACGATAGGCAGAGTTTCAGGAATGAATGGAATAAAGAGCTAGATCCCCCTTGCTTTGGCAAAGCAATGGGAAATGGCCTTTATAGCTTTTCTCTGTGGATCTTTAGTTGCAACTTATTCAGCAAGAAATTATGTTTAGTATATACTGGACACCACAGTGGCTCTTTAATAAAGGATTGAGCAAGGTGTCTGTCGGAGTTGTAAGATACAGGACACATCCCTTAAACATATGCTTTGGGTATGCCAAGTCATTTGGTTTTTCTGGGAGGAGGTTATTACTCATTAATTTTGTATTAGAATGTTAATTGATTTTTGAGGATGCTTCTAAACTACTTAAATGTCTAACCAACGGTCAATGAAAATGGACCCTCCATGTTCTTCTTACACCTAAAGGACTTGTATTTACAGCACGAGAGACGAATGCCTGCCTCCTGTAAATCAAGGGATTAAGAACTTGGAACTGTATCAATATTTGAATGCATGGCATATAGACGACAATTGCGTATGGACTTATTTTTAGATTTTATAGAAACTTATGTGTAGATCTGCCACCACTGTGGTTCTATTTTTGTTTACACATACTTGTGTGCGTGTGTGTGTTCTTTTCAATTTAGTTGCTAGATTTTGATTTTTTTCCTGTTCTTGTTGTTTTTGGGGGACAACGACTTTAAGGGGAAAAAAATCACATGTAAGTTGGTACCTGTCTGTAGAAAAATATAAACTTTATTACTGTGTGCATTGGAATATAAATTAATTGCACAATTAAATGCTGTAAAATATTGGCTACTATTCTACTAAAAAAGGGATGTTTTCATAAGAAGCATCTTTATTACAAGTTGGTTAGCATACAAGAGTCATGTAACATACATAAAATAATTAAAATGGTCTAGGTACAGCCATTTATGTAATGTTGTGTACATTTGCACACAAACAGAACAAACAATATGTTTATTTTACAAAGTACATATAAAAGTACTTCATATACAAAGCAAATACATGAATGTGCAAACACCATTTTTCACAGGTGGCAATTTATCTGCGGAAAATGCTAGAAAAATCCTTCATTGCTTCTTCAAAATATTAAAAACAGATTTGTTTCCTATTCTGTGTGCAGTGTAGAATATGTATTCACTATTTACTCAAAGAAGAAAAGCCAAGAAGTAGTTTTAAAAAGGGCAAACAATTTCAGCAACTGAAAGCCTACAAAAGAAGTCAGTTTGGTTACTTCAAGTGTTACAAGCAACATGACTAAACACTAGAAAATATCAACTTGTATATACAAACATATTAGTCTTATAGTTCACATATTAATATCTGAAATAAAAACACTGAAGTTTTTGCAGTGCTATCTAGAGACTCCACACTCAGTCATCACAGGCTGTAGCAAGTCAAACTTGTATTAATTTGGACTGTAAAAAAACAACATTCTTCAAACAAATTTAAGATGAAGAAACACAATGTTAGCAAATGTAAAAAATCTAAAAACATTCTTCCAATTCATGTGCAAAAATGTTTTAAAAGTATCAAATCACACATATTAAGCCCAATTATGTACATGCTCATCATCTGCATTTGCTGTTTATTTAGCAAGCATTTGCTATAAATAAATCAGTCCTTCAAAATGTCTGCTATCAAGGGTTTCAGTGCAAGTGTTTTGTTTAGTGCATTTATCATTGTGTTATTCCATTTTACAGTGTGCAGAACAGCACATAAGTTAATATACAAGTTTTATACTTCCGAGGCTTTTTTCTCCTACCTAAGTGTGTTTGTAAAAAGTTCAGGCAATTTTATTTCCACTGTTGCTCTGCAAAAGGAATTCAAAGTAAAAAGGATGCATTTGACGGTTAACTAACCGCAACAGTGAAAGATACTTGTAGAGATAGAAAGACCCCAAACAACTGGCAGAGAAGGAATAATTCTTTAAATGTTTTTGATGTAAAAATTTAAGCACCATGAACTTCTGTCCCTACTTTGTATTGCCTATTATTGTTTTTCAGACTTACAGGACTTATAAGTTGAAACGATGTTCTCTAAGTAACGGCTACTAGCCTTCAACTATAATCATTATTCTCTCAATTATTTCCTTTACAGGTAAACCAAGTAGGAAACAGAATGTCTGGAAAAAGTATTCACTCTGTGATTAAAGACAACCCAGTGCAATGCTGCCCATTCAGCCAACTTGATACCCTACTAAAGAGAAAGTTTTTCAGGCAAAGTGGTTATTTATTTTGAGTGTCCTCCAACTGGAGAAAAAATAACTACGTACGTTACATACTTAAGAAAAGATGATGTCCTAAGTTTTTATGGCTGAAATATAAGGCTGCTTGATCTGCAAAAAGGTCCCCTCCCAATCAAACATTACTTTCTCACGTATATGGAGAGCATTTCCTTCCTGCAGCTGGCAGTGCCAGGAGATTCCTTGTTATGCATCTGAAATGCAGCTCTGTACTCTGTCCATCCATTGCTGGGCACTGTGTGCATCTTGGGCACAGAAATTATATACACGCTTGCTTGTCTTCAGCTATAAAACAAAAATTAAAGATATAAAAATGATGTAGCATAATAATTTCCATGCTTACTTAAGAGAGTATTAGGGCCAATTCATGCTTCATGCAGCATAGGGATTTACTGTTCATCTCTCATACGCCTTTCAGTGACAGTTTGTAACACATGAAAATGAAATCCATGTCTCAATACATGCCATAGATATGCATGAAGGAGCTGCAGCCAAACTCAGGTTCATATACGACACACTTTCATGTGTTTCTAGCTGGCGACTTGAAAGCAGCATGCTCTAAGGACTGGCAAAGGTCTATAAAGCGTGCTTTTTATTGTCAATCTAATATATAAAATGTGGGAAGGCAGAAGTAGAGGGCCCATGCACATGTACGCACATACATCTTGCACTTACAATGGGTGATAAAAGAATTTATGTTAACACTTGTGGATTCAGTTCTGAGGAGCAGAAGGATCACAACAAGGGTACCACGCATATGCCTATATTATGTTGCATACATGCTGGGGAGCTGTATATGTAAGCCCATTTTGGGAGTCAAGGAAAATCTTTCGGGAATTCCTGTCTTGGTTTATAAATGAACTAGGATATATACATATATGCTATATTATGTTGCATACATGCTGGGGAGTCAAGGAAACTCTTTGAGGAAGTCCTGTCTTGGTTTATAAATGAACTAGGAGTAAGGCCCGTTGTGGGAAGAAATACAACGAGCTCTAGAAGGAAGCTCCAGGTGAGTGTCCCGACTGTGGCTGGTGGGGTGGCAGAGGGGAGGGGAAAATAGAGGCAGGCAAGCCATGTCTATTTCCTTCTGCTTAGCTATAAGGCAGGGCTGTCTCAAGTCATTTTGCTTCCCCAAGTGAGTAGTATGGGAGGACAGCCTCATGGTAACAGGTATGGTTCCCTCCACCCCTGACTCATGTTGATTTGGGGTTA